TAATTTTTCACAGTGACTGTTCTTAATGCAATGTAAAATGTTTAGGAGAATATTAGGGTGGGCTTTAGTATTCAGCCGCACCTTTTGTTTTAAGAAAACCAGGTGGAATTAACAAATGAAACTTGGACAGGATGATAAGGGAGATATCCTCTCAAACATGCATAACATAAAAAAATAAAAATAAAATTATTTGTTTATAACCCAGCCAGCAAAATCATCGTAAACAAGCTCGTAATTGGATATTTTCTCGAAGAAAAACCGGATTAAAAATCGTTTATGATAACCGTTTTAGACTCTTTTTCGAGCACTTTTTCGCTTTAAATTGTGCATCGCCTACGAACAGTCGTAAACGGATCGAAAAAGCATTCGTATGCGAATATTTTTACGTCAGTTTTTTAATTGTAAACGAGTCTCGTAAACGATTAATTTACGTTAAAAAAGCGTTTTTCTACACTGCTTTATCTACTGTTTTTGAATGCTAAAAATAAAAGCAATTAATTAATTCAAATTATTGTAGTTCTTTTATTGAATGGAATTATAATTAATAAATATTTATAGTGCCGGATCAAAGTATTGGCACAGAGAATTTTTCGCAATGTATGCAAAGTTTTTTACTTGAATTTCTTTCCGCACATTATTTTTTTTAAATACAGTTAGTATGAAGATCTACTTTCAAATCAGATTTTTGAGAAAAATTCTAAGTATGCAGTTTTAAATCCCATTATATTTTAGTATGCAAAGACCTATTAAACTAGCAAATTAAAAAAATAAATAACTATAAACTTACGAGATAGGGGAATTAAACGTTTAAATCCTGTAGTGTTACTCCGCGCAGCCTGTGAAAGAATTGCAAAACTCGTTAAATTAAATTGTATTTTTGAATTACATATGTAGTAGCTACTTACAAGAAGTTTAATTATAAAAGAAAGTGGTAGATCGTCCTTGGCGTTTGCACCAGTCTGCCAATAAATCACATACTTAATAATTTTCTTAAATTGAATATTAAACAAACTACTTATAAAATATTGTGATTGAAGAAAAATTGTCAACAAAACTAAAATTGTTTCTTGTGCTGACAAATTACTACAAGCCTCTTTCTATTATATTTTTTTTGTTTTATCGTTTACGAGCTTTTCTCTAACTATTTGGCGATACGAGAATCCCTCGTAAAACATAATGCTCGTAAAATGTACGTTTTCTTGCTGGCTGGGAAGTTATTTGTTGTATAATTGTGTTAAGTTGTTCCACATGATTTCCTTATAAAAGTGTATATTTTCATGTATATAAATACACACAGCACTCCACTTAATAGTTTAAATTCTTTAATTTTATTTTAATTGTATAAAAATCACTTTAATCCAACTTTTATTAACTTGTAAATTACATTGAATTGCGTCCATATTCACAATAACACATGGTTGCAAACTGACAAACAATATGTGCTCCCCCTGCAAACCATTTTCTCAGAGTATTCTGAATTTTCTAAAATGAAATAAATCACGCACCTCCATTCTTTTACGAAATTTCGAAAAAAATCTGTGAAGCAACGAAAATAATGCTGCTATGTGAAGAATATCTTTCAGAATTTTTCCGGAATTTTCTTTATTTTTCGTACAGAAATTTCTTTACGAGTTCGTGTCAACCACTTCATATAATTTTCTTTGAAAATTCGTAAAAAAATCGTTACAGAAATGAGATACTCCTAACGATTTCTTTAAGATTTCGGGAACTTTGGTTTGCAGGGCCCATACTGTATAAAATAATACATACAAAGAATAAATGCATAAAATGACATTACACACAGAAAGGAGAATTCCACTTAATAAGGGTTATAATCCCTAAGCGCGGCCGAAGTCCGTCTAAGCACAAAGGTTTTCGGCCCCTCTTCTTCGAAAACACAGAAAGGCGAATTCTACTTTCTGGCAGTACCAAGTTTGATGTTATTTTGCTATCTTATTCATCGTTTATATAAAAACTTTAACAACAAAGGGCGTGTGTGAATCGGTAACAAATTTCTATGGTGAAAGCTGTTGAATAATATTTTGCTATGGGGACACAGTTTTGCCAATCTGCTGTGTGAAATGAAATATTTTTTGACAGCAGTAAACTTTTGATAACCGCAGATTTATGCGGAATCGGGTTGCTAGAAAAAGGGCGGGTATTTTTGAAATCAGCGGGTTCTATACTAGAGAAGGACAAAAAAAGTAAAAGAGGAAACGAGAATGAAAACGAGAGGACCTAAGAAAACGTTGAAAATCACGCCGCGTTGATTTGGGGATAGCGCGCACTGACACTCGTTGACAATGGAAAACGCAACGCTTAGCGCTCCAATTTAGGGACAGCAGTTAGGCTGCAGAGCAAAAATGTGAATGCTCAACAAGGCTGCCAACTATACTTAGCGATGAAGTGCCAAATTGAGGGTGAAAAAGTTCCAAAATGTGCCAAATAGAAAAATAAAGGGGAAATGTTTAGTTATTTCCCTTGCGTTTTTGGGGTGGGGGCGGAAAGGGGACAGTCCCCACTGTACGAAAAGCCACACCCCCCTCCCCACCTTCAGGGCCTCCCTCAGACCCCTAGGGAACCGATTTAAAATGGGCGAAATACGGCATTTACCGAGGCAAATTGAGCAGTTTGAAGTGGAATATAACCCAACTATAACCAACGTTTTCAAATAAAAGAAATTATCCCAAGGTGGTTATCAGGCGAAAAAAATGGGGGTGAACACCTTTCTGCGTAGGCGGCATTCGGTCGCGCTGTATGATTATAACACTTACCAAATACAGTTCTCTTTTTGGTGTGCAAGAACTGGGGCTACCGCCCCAGTGATGTAGCCATGGGAAAGCATGAGGTAACTAGAATTCCCTTTCTATGTGGTAAACCTGGGGCCTCCGCCCCAGTGATGTCAATTATTTATTAAATTAAATTAAATTAAAGATTAAATGAATATTTGCCATGGAAAGGTTTATAGTTTTAATGCTTACTAGGTTATATCTTATCTTCTTTTGTCTCTCATTCTTTTGCATATTTTGGAGTTTGACAGCTGAACTCCGCCATTTAATTTGCATATGCAACCAAAGTCAGACGCGTTAAATATAAAAATTAACAATCTTGTTGCGATTTACTAATGAAAGAAAGAAATTTGAAAGGTACTCGGCTGAAAAAGCTGTATTCGTAATCGGAAAGCTCTCGACACCACTGTCGATTTAGGAAATCCGTCACTGAAATTGAAGTGTATGTTGAAGAAAGTCAGAATAAGAAGAAATATACATAAAGGTCCTGTTTTGGTTTCTACCTGAAATGATTAAAAAAAATTATTATGCTCGAAATGCAACCGTGTTTGCTTATTCCTGTTCGCGCAAAACTTAGTACATTTCTCTCTTTGGGAGACTAAGGTACCTTATTCTCTGAATTTTGTTACTGGCTAATTCTTACTGGCAGTTGCATAACGAACACTCCTTATGTTTTTATCATGGTATATACAGTAATAAACCTTTTCGCAGTTGTTCACCATTTGGTCCCCGAGGAGTACTTTTGGGTTGTGTGCAGCGTGTTCGTTTTGCGCGCACGGCAACACTTACTGTGGGGAATTTCGCCTCACGATTAGAAAAAGTACATTTCGAGGATAAAATATACATAATTATGTGTTATTTATGAACAAAATGTATGTTAAGTATAATCAGGCAGGTTCTGCAGTTTACTTCCGAGTGAATTTGAGTCGGATTCGCGTAGAATTCAAATTGGCAGGGGTTGAAATTCACTCGTAAGTGAATTGCAGAACCTGCCTGAATATTCATCTTTAATGTATGCTGTTATTCATGCGTAATGAAGAATAATATCAATAGTTAAGTACATAAATAACGCTTGTGTTTTATAAACTGGAAAACTCAAATCGTAATTATAACATTGAATGGAGTTTTCTTAAATGTAAGTTTAAAATAAAAATAAATTTATTGTAAGATTAAATTTTTTATGAAAACCGTAAATTTTGTGAATTTATCAAGCCAAATTCTAAATTTCCAAATATATTTAAGTCTTTATTTAAAAAAAAAAAACAAGGTTTGTATAGCTATACAGATACCAATGCCTGCCAGCACATCCGCCCAGACAGTCCATTAAGCACACCCAAGTTTGAGTGGTCTACAAGTTAAAAGCGTTTTCAGCATTTAACAGTTCATTATCATGTGCGGTGTAATATAACAAATTATACACTGAACTATGATAATCTATAATAGTGTCTATAATAAAAGACAAAAATTTGCAATGTTTTTACACTTTTGCAATAGTTTCTTGCACTATTACACAGTCATGACTTGTGCCACTCTGCCATAGTACGGTTGTTGCTCCCTTCCATACCAGAATAATTTTGTATACAACTCTGAATCAACAAAATCCATGATCCTTCTCATTATCAAGCCTGATCAGATTTTAGGAGGAGTACTCAATAACGTTTATTACTGTATATACTGTGATTACTATTTTCACAAGTGCATTTTGGCACTCCGGCACAACTTAAGTCCCATTTGAAGTAAGTAGGCCCAAAAATGGAAGCGTTTGAGGGAAGTTGGCAGCCCTGATGACCAAATACAATAACGATAACAACAAGCAAACAATAAACACAAAAAGTCAAGAGGCAAATAAACAGAGCAACGGCTAATAACAACGACAAACGCAAGCCACAAGAGAGATGAGAATTTCAGCAAAATTAAATTAAAATTACAATGATTTTTAAACGTTTGTATGTAACATGGTATGCAATATACATATGTACATAAATACATAAGTATGTACATATGAGTGGATATATGGACATATGTATGTACACATTTTTTTGTAGAGCAACAAAACTATATTTTAAGATCCAGGTCATTCACTTGCGTGCATATAGTGGGTGAACGGTACTATAGTAGTATGTATGTAAATATGCAAGAAGTGTCCTTGCCTAATGGAGCTGAAAAAGCGCCAAGGCATGAGCATTACAAAAAAAAACAAAAAATACTCACCGCGTATTTGTTGAGAATAGCATCGTGGTAACCACTCGAATAATCTTCCAGCTCGAACATTTCAAAAATTCTCGTATCACCCAGCGATGCTAGCAAAATATCCTTCTCAAATTACTTGCAGTACTCGTAACAATCTACTTTGCACAATTTTTCGCATTCATTATTCACGTGCAAGTATTGTGCCGTATATATATGTTGGCGGAAGAGTTCAACAAAAAAAAATACAAATACACAACCTTTACACACCCGCAAAAACAATTCAAACACAAGTTTGTTTCACTGCAAATATGTAATAACATTCCCTTTCGTACACTTTTCGAACATTGCTTTATTTGAGATAGTCCAATTCGATTTTCTTTACTTTCCTTTATGTATATTGATTTGATCGCCGTCTGTCCATTCCTAGTCTTCTTCCCTTTTATACCATTTCGTAAGTACATACATACATACGTATGTATATGTTCTTGATTCGATTACTTTGAATCTTTAACCCGATTTTTACTCAAGATTTTGAGACTTTTTAAGTGCGCCTAGACTAAAATTTTCGTATTGCAATAGAGAACTACCTCGAAGTAAACGGGGAGCACATACACACAAGCACAAAATGTACACGCGAGTTTCGCGTACCGTTTCATTTGCTTTTAAAAATTAGGCGGGCTCGTACTTTTTCGTTTCTTTGCTTCACACATTCATCTCATTACTTTTTGTTTCCAATTCGTAGCCGGCCGGTCAAGCAGTCGTCCAATAGCATTGAAAAATTCCAAACGTAACGAACAACTGCAGAAAAGCGCGCACTTCTTCACTGAGCGCAGAAAATCAACTGAGAGCATCAATGAGAAGCAATTCCGTATTAACCGGCAGAGCAGCCGGCAGAGCAAGCAACTGCGCTGCCGAACTTCGAAAGAGAGTCGTGAGTGTACAAATGTGAGTGAGTTTTTGCCTTTTGAAATTAACGTACGCCATTGATAGCCAATTTTCTCATGTTGGTAAGGTTACCATATTTACCATTAAGTAAGATACTTTCTTAAGAGGAGTTGTGCAACATAACGTAGCTGCATACCTGTAGGCTTTTAATATAACACACAATTTCAATTTGTTAAATAAAAGAGTATTCAGGTTTGCTCATTATGATATTCGACGGTATAATTCAAACTGTGAACTATTGATTAAGTATATATTTAGCACATTGTTATAAATGGGAAACGTTGCCGAAGAGATAAGTTGTGCTTTCGTATTCTCCAGCATAAAATATCCAGTAACCAGTGTTGCCAGGTTTCACGCATGAGAAAACGTCCCTCTTCGTTTGAAAAAACGTCTTTTCCATGTATGCACACAGAATTGTTCTTATTAAACTTTTATTGTATACAAAGGTACATATGTACGTAAGGTATATTTAAATGTCATTTCGACAGAGCACATTTAAAATTCATTAGTGGTATTCACCAAAGTGAGCAAGTGCCCTGGCACTCAGATGGGCTCAAGCAACGACTGTTGACAACAATTTGGTGAATACCACTATTGTAAACTGGTTTGAGATCGTTATAATAAAAATCATTTTATACAGACACATGAGATCAGCTGATTAACAGCCGTATTCTAACAAAGTCACAAACTTTAGCTCATCACTGCTGTGATTTCTACTGCGCCTCAAAGCTTGCCGCTGCAAAAAATATGCCGCTACAATACAAATTTTTAAATTTGTGTGAATTTTTCTAGTACTCAAAATCGAATTTTTTGTGACACATTTCTCGGCGCACTAGAAATCACCACAGTGATGAGCTAAGTTTTGTGACTCTGTTAGAATAGAGGGGTATGTCATCAACATTTTGATCGATTTTGGCTGTTTTTCTTTTGTTTATTTAATGTTTATTATTTTTTTTATAAAAGCCTAGCTCATTATGTAACTAACACAATATAAATCCACATTTCAAACTTTGTGCAAAAATTATAAAACATCCGCAAAGTTTCAGCTAGATTTACAATTTTTATTCGGCTTTTTTAGAATTTTTTTGAGTATGCAGTTTGATAGCCCATTAAAATCCAGGGTAATAATATTCGAGTTTTAAGTTGGTAAAGAATCCCGTCGATTTTTGATACATATATATATTGTGACGAATACTGCGGCAACGCAAAGCGAACAACGAGAAATAGACAGAATGTTCGAGGAATGACGTAGAATGTTCCACAAAGAGAAACGTCAAGTTGGATGAACACTGCGAACAGCGAGAGAAAGAGAATGAGCGATAAACTTAAGAACGTTCTAGAGTTGCCATAAGTACGAGCGCAGGTATATAAGGGCGCCGCCACAGCGAAGGGAGTTAGTTACGAGTTACAAGACAGCAAGCTACAAGTAAAGTGAGCAGAGAAGTGAATTGCGAATAAGTAAGATATAAGTTTAATTGTGTTACCACGTTTAGTTAAGCGCTGTTATTGCTTTAACAAGTATTGTAAAGTGTGTTTACTGTATTAGCGAGTATTGTACATTGTTTGTTGTACAATAAAGTTAATTGTACTACAATTTGGTCATCGATTGCATTTATTTAACAATCCAGCGATACGAACCGAGAGATTTGGGAAATCCGGGCGAGGTTTCAAGGATAATCGTAACAATTGGTGTCAGAAGCGGGATTGTTAAATAAATCCCGAAGGATAAACTACTGAAAATGGCGAAATTCGGGACTTAAAGATTGAGGAGCTGAAACAAGAGCTGGAAAAGCGTAATTTGGCCACCTCCGGAAGAAAAGTGGAGTTCTTATCCCGATTGCGGGAGGCTATGGAAGCTGAAGGCATCGACGTGGACAAATACGACTTCCAGGGTAAACCCGACGATGCATCCGCAAAGGACGAACAGAAGGATGAAGCTGCTTGTTCGTCGAAGGATGTGCAGCAGACATCCGGGAAGGTTGAAGAACACCAAAAGGCTCTTAGTTCATTAACAGCTATAGACATGAAAACGTTATTGGCTGCCATGTCACAGATGTCATCACAGCTGTCGTCACAGATGCAAGCACAGGATACACGCATGTCACAGATGTCATCGCAGCTGTCATCCCAGATGCAAACGCTGGAGACACGTATATCTTCAGAGGTATCAGCGCAGGTGTCATCCCGGCTAGAAACTCAGCTACTGGCACAAGAGACACGTATATCATCCCAGCTGGAAGCACAGGATGCAAAAATTACACAAATACAGGACGAAATCGAAGAGAGACAGGAGAAAGTCGAGACAAAGGTAGAGGAGTTGGAAGGTCGTCTTCGTGATTTACAATTGAATCGTCCAGCTACTTCGACGAGCGCAAAAACTCCATCCTTTGACGGCACGATTCCGTTCCAGGTCGTTAAGCTCCAGTTCGAAAAACGGCTGCAGCAAATCATTGGAGCATGGAGGATAAATCCGCTGCACTATTCGTTGCATTGAAAGGACCAGCGGCAGAAATCTTGCAGACTATTCCCGACTGTGAAAGGAACAGTTACGATACGTTAATGGGTGCAGTGGAAAGACGTTATGGTAGCGAGCACCGGAGACAGATTTACCAGATGGAGCTGGAGAATCGCTGCCAGAAATCCAACGAGACTTTACAGGAATTCGCCTCTGAGGTTGAAGGTTGGCTCATTTGGTAATTGGAGATGCATCTGGTGAGCACCTCGAAAGAGTAAAAATCCAGAGGTTCATCAACGGAATGCGGGACGTGTATACCAAGCGAGAGACGTACGCGAATCCAAAGGCAACATTTGCTGAAACCATCTCGTATGCTCAGACACGTGAAACGGCAGCACTCCTAAGTAGACCAGCCTACAAAGCACATCGCGTAGAAGTAGAAACACCGGACGAGACAAATGAAATGCTGAAGAAGATTATCCAACCGCTGGGCGAGAAAAAGCATGGCTCTGGCAAATGTTTTAAATGTGGAAAGCCAGGCCACTTCGCCCGCAATTGCAGCGCAAGTTCCAGTGTGCTCAACAATTCAGCAGGAAGCAAACGCAGGGCTGAAGGAGACGAAGCCAACTCCAATCAGTCGTTAAACTGAAACGAGCCAGCAGGAAGGGCCGCGTGCTGGCTCCAGATGTTGAAGGGCCCATAATCTCCGTCTCCAAAATTGGCCGGAAATCATGCAACCTCACTGTTGGTGGATGTGTGAATGGGCAGGAGAGAGTACTGACAGTGGATACTGGAGCGACACATTCCATTATTCGACCGGATTAGGCCACTTCTTATGTGAAGCCACTACCTGGAGCAAAGCTGCAGACTGCAACTGGTGAACGCACCCAAGTGTTAGGCGAAGTACCATGCGAGGTAATAATAGACGATGTGGCCTCGTACACTAAGTTTATAGTGGCAGACATTGTGGATGAAGTCATCCTCGGCGTGGATTTCTTACTTGGCCAAGGCATGAAGATTGATCGGTTCACCGATACAGGAAAAGCGTGAGGGTCCGCCAGCTCAGAGAAGAAGAGGTCGCAACAAGGAAGGGGTCATGGCGAGCCAGGCAGTGTTTCCGGCAGGAGGAAAGCCACTGAACCGCGTTGCAATGGTGATACGCCGGTGGCCGGAAATGGAGGCGGCTGTGGGAGCAGTAGGCGCGCTTTGAAGTGTCCCGAAAAACGTGGTCGGCAAAGGCAAGCAGTTAAGCCGGAAGCCAAGGATGAGGTTATACATGTCCGGTCAATGAGGTTGAAGCCGGCGAAGGAGCGAGATGCGGAAACACTGGGAAAGTTTCAGTGTAAGGATCCGGATGTAGCAAGATGTGCTAAAGGCAGTGCAGCACGAAGGCGGGAGTCTGGGTGTCATGGACAGATGATGCGGCATAGATCTGGCGAGAAGGGTGCCACGAGAAGAGACATGGTATGGTCACCACCAGTGGCCGGCAGAAGCACGACCATGTGAGATGGTGCACTCCCGGAGATAAGCCGGAAGTAATGTCGAGTAACGCATGGTGGTTGTACATGTCGCAGCAGAAGCAAAGCTTCAACTCCAAGCAAAGACGTGACTGGAGAGATTCGAAGATTAATAAACGGCTGAAGGACGCAGTGCATCAAATCCAGACAATGGGGAGACCGAGGACTAGGGTTGTTCGACTTCACTAGAAAGTCGACTTTCGAGTTTTCGATCGACTCTGTACAGTCGACTTTAAAAGTCGATCGATCCACGAAGGAAAGTCGACTTTGTTCGACTTTTTTAATAAAAAGAAAATGTATTAAGTATACTCTGCATATAACTCATATACTAGCTATAAATATAAGAGTCAGAATACGCCAAAAATATCATGATTTACTAGTGGTATTTAGAATAATCTGTAATTTAGTGAAATTAAATGCTAGGTAAAAAAAACAGACACTAAAGGATTTTTAAAAATTTTGAAAATTGTTTCAGTTATCCAGCATCAAAATGCTTATTTTTGAAAAAAAAATTTTAATTCGCAAAAAAAAAAATTCTAAAAATTTTTTTAATCGATATTTGGTAATTTCGGAAAAATGTGGCCTTTCCGATGGAGCAGAATTGGCGGGTATTGGTAGAAATATAAGTGCCACTTTATAAGCATGGATAAATATGGGAGTAGCCCAGACAGCTAGTGGATTGGGACTATCCACACGGCTAATGTCGCATATTAACTGGAATCCTACCAGCAACGTTTTTAGCGGTGTTTAAAATTATGTATCTTACGGATTGGTCAAATTCGAACCAAAGACTGTCTGTAAAAACTTACATAAACTCAAGCAGAAAAACTTTCTTGCATGAAATTGTTAAAATAAATAAGTATAATATAATATAATATGTTTATCTTACCTCATTATTAACTGAACA